TACTACATGTATACCATCGAGTATCAGCGAGACAAATTTATTTATATATTTATATATAAATGTATATAATTATTCATTTTACATTATCATTTTTTTTTAAATGATAGCGAAGTACTGAAATTATCGCGCATAGTGTTTCGTAAACAAATACAATTATTTTTTTTATCAGGTTTCAAAAGGAAACAATTTCAGTTCGGGGGCACAACCATAACTTTACATTTAAAGGCACGATCAACTTCTGAAAATTCCTTGACAAGCAAATAAATAAAGGTCATTAGATGTTATTATTGAGGGGAATCCACTTATCCCTTATGACAAGCATAAAGTAGCTATGTTTTCAATAATGTGATCTACATGTATATGTATTGTCAAATTTTTTTGTTTAACAGCAGGTCCTGTACTCTGATTATTTATTTGATACATACGTTTTTGGGGGGTAGGGATATAAACAAAAAGCACAAGTATTTGTAATTTTCCTAAAATTGTTATGTCTCTAGAAAAATAATGCATCCGTTATCTTAAGAAAAACAAAATCTGAATGCTCGATGAACGATACTTTTTCCATAGCCTTAGAATTAGTCAAGAAATATATCATTATACTCAAAGCTATATATTATTTCTTTTTATTCGAAACGAGATTAAAATTTATAAAGGGATTGAACTTTAGTAATTCTTCACAAATGCTTTTGGAACTGTTCTGTTTTAAATTATTTCATTGTACAAGTAACTAAAAAGTGGATACATAAATAAGACCGCCGAATCTAAGATTTACAATCAGTAATATAGCATGCATTCTTAATTATTAGGTTTCCATGTTAATTGGAATGATGAAGGATTTGCAACGTTCCACGCAGAATGTTGGTTCGCTTTACGGGGGATGTATAAAGACAAAGAATCAACTCTTACGAAGGAGGAAAAAGAAATGGTGAAAGAGGCTGCAAAGACAGCAGAAATCCACGACTCATGCGCAAAAGTTAAACAGGAAGCGGAACACATAGCAAACCTGATTAAAAACGCCAAATATTGCATAGCGTTTACAGGTGAGAGAAGGGCATTTATAAATTACATGTACAATGTTTAAGCTAGCGGGCATTGAAAGTAACCACCTGGCATATCTAATCAAAATTTTACTTCTTTATTGGGGTTTCTAAATGAGTATCTAATGTTCAGATCTTTAATTATTAAACGGTACATGTAAAATAGGCCACTGGCATAGGAGGAAAGTACTTGATGGTTTAACATGATTCATATAAATCAGGGGCTGGCATTTCCACCGCGGCTGGCATTGGGGATTTCCGAGGAATTCATGGCAAGTGGACAGAAAGAGACAAAGTCAAACAACATGGTAAAAAATTATACACAACAATTAATATTAATCTTAGAGGTCAAAATTGAGAAGAAAATATATCGATATACATGTACCATCCAAATGATTAATATGCAACTATATACCCAGTAATGCATTTCCCCCTGATTCTAGAAAAAATTAATGCTTAAATTTTACTACCTGTAATTTATGAAATCAAAGCTGAAGTTTCTGATTTTTTTCCTGATTAAGGAGCCAAAGGAAAATCTAAGAAACACACAAGAGACTTTCAAAAGCTCCGCCCAACTTACACCCATGAGGCACTAGTAAAACTAGTAGAAATGGGACTTTTAAAGCATGTGATCAGTCAAAATGTTGATGGACTGCATCGACTGTCTGGACTAGAAGAAGGACAGATATCGGAACTACACGGCAATACTTTTGTCGAGAAATGTGAAAAATGCAATAAACGTTACGTAAGACATTCCAGATGCGGGGGAAAAGCCACTAATGTGCCTGTAAACAAATGCAAACATTGCCGGATAAATCATCGGACTGGTCGTGTCTGTGAAGATAAGGTACTACTATGTATAAATGCATTTGTATAATTCAATTTCGACTTCATATTTTATTATAATGGAAAATAAAAGAATATTCGCAATCAATTAATACTCCCTCATTCTAGTAAAAGTAAGATTGAATCAGAACACCACAAGAGGAACAAAGCAATAATATTATTAGTGAAATTCATGAAACTTGCTCTTCCAGAAATGTAACGGATACTTGATGAACACCATAATAAACTTCGGGGATTATCTAGAAGGGGACGTTCTAAGCGGCGCTGAAGAACACGCTGAACGCTCTGATCTTGTTCTGGCTCTAGGAACGACACTTCAGGTTTCTCCAGCCAACGACTTGGTGGAAATGGGAGAAGAACCAACACGTTTAGTCATCTGCAACAGGTATGTCAAATTTTCTTTTAATGTCCAAAAAGTAAATTAAAAGGCTTTTTTCAAACTATGATTTCACAAGATGGAGAATTTTTGGGAAAAGAAGAATAGTTTTATGTTAAAGTTTGATCTGGTTTTGAAGAATTTTATCGAGTTGCATTATTTTTATTAAACTTATGTTAAATATTTACAGACAAGCAACTGATTATGACAAAACTTGTTCGGAGCTGGATGATAAAGAAGTTCCATTGGGATCAAGGGTCTTTGGAGATTGTGATAAATTAATGCGTAAAGTTATGCGATATGTTCTACCAAAAGAGGAATTAGCAAAATGGGAGCAAGATAGAGACGTTCGAATGCTGACATACGACACAAAACGAAAATTGTAGACACGAAGAAAAAGGATTATTAGATTTCTTTGATATAGATGCAATTCAGACATGCAGAAATTTCTAATTTACATCTTGTTAGCTTATGTGTCGTACACTGTGCCACTAAAGGTCGCATTTAATATCAATTTTTTTTTAAAATGTCATTGAGATATATACAGTTTTGAATAAATAAATAATATGTGTTTTACATACTTTAACTATGTATTATTTTAACAGTAATGAACATTTTTACCCACAATCGAAATACATGTACCTTTTTCTGTCAAGCAATAAATACATGTATAAAACAAACTCGGTCATTTGAATCTTTAATATCACAATTAAATATTAATGACATATTTTGTTCACTCAGTATACATGTAGATTATGGCAAAAGTGTCAAGATTGTCTGGATCAAACCTAGATGTTATTATAATAGCTACATATGTATATTTTGTTAGTTTTATGGCACAACTGGATTATACTGTTCAAGCTGCTTTCACAAGAGAGACTATTTTCTCAGCCATTGGACTTGCTGAAGGTGGGTTCTGTCCGGTAACAATTCGTCCACTTGTCTGAAAATTAACCGAATCGACGATTGACAAACCCACGTATAAAAGAACATTGACCACCGTGAACTATTTCAGTAAAATTGACTACAATAGACCGACTTTTCGGATTTCTGTAGATATTTTGTTGGAATTCACTACAAAAGCTAAATTTAAATTATACAATTAAAATATTGAATCTGGTGTTAATTACAACATTTAATTACTCCAGACATGAAATAATTTAAGCACTATGGATATTCAAAATAATCAAACATCTTTAATTTGTTCTTACTTTTTAAAAAATATCTATTAAACCACAAACAAATACTTTGTATTATATTATACCTGCACGTTTACTTGAAAGTTTGCAGCACCCACAAAATTGGCCCCTAGCTCTCTTAGTTTCGTTTCGAGTAGAAATGGCATCGCCTCTGTGAGCTTCATGAATTCTTCTTCCGCATTTGTGAACGAAGTAACAGTCTGGCCCTTTACAATGCTATCTCCATTCGATAATTTCACCGGCACTAAACCTTCAATAATGATTCACAAATATTAAATCTTTAAATTAAGCTACTTTAATAAAATATTTAAAATATTTAAAAAAAATAACTTACTCTAAGCTTGCATATCATAGTAAATTTCAAACAATATTTGAAATCTCAAAGATATCTTTAGAGAATATTTCTTTAAAACAATGAAAATTTTAGTTTAATAGTGTTATAAATGTTCCGTACCCACAGTTCCATGACAGACGGCACTCACGATAGCACCTGCTTCATAAGCTTTGGTACATAAGTTAGCGATCTCCATATTGTTTGGCAAGTCAAACATTGGTCCATGGCCACCAGCGTAAAAAATAACTTTATACTTACTAAAAAAAAAAAAAAAATACGGCTAAAGTTGAGAGAAAAACAGTGTTTTAAAAGATACTCGAGGGCTGATAAAATTATAAGCATACTTTTCTAATTAATATTTATTACTAGTTAATATGTATTACTTTTACAGACGTCCATCAGCCAAAAAAAAATTACAAGCAAATTTATAAAAGATTTTGGTGAGAATGAGGATGTATGGGGCATAAAAAAACAACCTAGATCATACATACAGAATTCAAAACTTTACTCATCTATTTTCTTTAATTTGTGGGAATATTCAACAATTTTCTTTAAAAGTTTCTTTTGCTGTACATAACGACGCATTAAGACTTTTGATGTTATATTTGAAGATCATGTACTATCAGTAAATTGTATTTACTTAGTATGAAAACATGACATCATTTGATTTGAACCAGCACAATTTTATCAAAGTATATGTGGTGTGGTGTTCGGGAAAATACCAACCAATACTCGAAATATGTCTGATAAAAAATGTAGTTGCCTTGCAATATTTGAACTATTAAAAAATCCAAAATTTTATATATTTTTTAGAATGATCACTGTTCGTTATCTATATGCACACTTCCAACGTTATGCTATACTAATTGCACCAGGCCACACAAAATGTGCATCAAACAGAAAGAGAAAGATCGAGTTTTACACATACATGTATTTTAAAAAAGACCCCATATGGTTTTTAAGGCGAAAAGAGGTTGGATTACTATTACAGAAATCTTGTATAAATTCTCCAGAACAGTTAAAACAGATATAAAAATTCGCCCTCATAATTACTCTAAAAATCTTTTAAAAGTTACAAAGTTACTCTAATAAAATTAGGAGCCAAAAACAGCGTTATTTTTTTTCAGTCAGACGATGTCCATACGAATAAAAAGCTTAGTCAGAATTAAAAGGATATGCAAATATTCCATCCTCTTAATATGTGGACACAGTTTATTTAATGTATTGTGAACATATAAATAAATCCTTACAGTAAATACTACTCTGTTATTGAATTATGAACATTCATATTCGTATGAAAACGCGATAAAGGGTCGAAGAAGAAGTATGGCATGTGGTTTTTTTTTATCCAAACTTGAAAGATGCATTCCTATTTCTTTTAAGAGATATAAACATCATTTGCTAGATGTATATGTACACTGTATTGTTGGAGGATTTTCTAGTATCCATAGATTAAATAATTGTATAAAGAGAAAAAAGTAGCGTATGAAAGGTCCACAATGAAAATGACTACGGTGCTGAAAGCTTACATTGTAAGAAGCTTTGATCTTTAATATAATTGTGTTATCTTGACAAACAAAAGTTAAACGGCCAGTTCTTCATAATACACTGGTCATTGTAGTAAAATTAGATTTCCATAACAATCAATTTTTAAAGTAAATTAATATCACGCTTTTTATTTAAATTCTTATATAAATAAATACGATTTGTCTTTGATAGTGGAACGGATCTATGGACTATCTGTGGAATGAAAACAGTAGCATGCAAGCTTATCCGCCAAAATATTTATTTTGGAAGAAAGGGTATAAATTTTATCTAAATACAACATTATCATTAAATGTTTTACCTAGGCCATTTTTTACTTAATTGGATAAAAGAACCAGCCTGCTGCGCATATTATAGATTAACAATATTAAAATGTTGATATCAATAAATGAAGGCGATTTAAATCATTCACTTATTTCCGTTTCAGTATACCTTATATCCACCTGAGAAGGTGTCATAGTCGTTTTTAATTTTTCAGCCCCGGACTTCAGAAAAGCTTGACACACAGGATCGTCTTTAAAGGCCTCTGCACTCCCTGGATCCTTTGGAATGAAAAATGAGTTCAAAATTCATTATTTATTTTAACTATGTTTGTTCCTAAAATTATCAAATGTGAACAATGCATCTAAGAAGAAAATCAATTTTAAAGAGATTTTATTGAGTTTTACCATGGGTGCTTGTCCGCCTTGTGGACTGACGAAATCAACTTCGAATCCCGCCTTGACGAAGACGTCATATGGATGCGCAACTTCCGGAAGGTACCAGCCTGTTTTCTTCCCAGTGCTTCCGAGATCGGCATGATTAGTAACTACTGTTAGAACTCGAATCTTTGCTGCCATAATTACTGATAGTCAATCGTACTCTGTAAATTAACATGTTACTGTAATTGTATTTTTTGTTCATAATTAAAGGACTGATAGTATAAACAAAACTTCGGAAATATATTAGGACCTATGTTGATTATTATGATTGGTAATGAAAATATCGATTTTCTGCACTAAAAAGAAATTGTAAATTATCTCCGTTGATCAAAATTCTATCTTTTTTCTGCAATCTCCCTTATAAATCCATGTACGTACCTTTAATAACGTTATAGTCCTTTAAAATATATTTAAAAAACTGTCAATGAAAAAAAGTATCTACAACATTCTTATACTTTATTTACTTAAATTAACATTACATAGCTAGTTGCTATTTCCATGATTTGTTTTTTAGCTGTCCTTGAGTTAAATACTGTCTTGTTGTTCTATTTACCCTTAAGATAATGTGCAAACAAAGTCCAGTCTAAGAAATGATTCTTAAAAAGGTTTACTATTACTAGATTTTATTTATAGCATTAGGAATATAATTTAGTGATACTATAGACAGCATTTTTTTGTATTTTTTTTAGTACCGTTCTTTTGAATAAAAACAAATTCCAGTCTAAGAAATGATTCTTAAAAAGGTTTACCGACCTCGTAACATTCGTCACGTGTATGCACTACTCTGAAACGTATTTAAAGTTTTTTTGGGAAGCATTCCAGACAATGTACATGTATAAACCTATAAGTTATGCTCTGATAAATTCCTGAACAGCGACAAAATATCGTGCATGTTAATAGACACCGATGAAAGAAGCATAAGCATTTTACCTGTTAGAATTTTTAAAACTTTATGATTCCTTCAGACCAATACTGGATATGAGTATTCTTCCGATGTGCCTGATTTTTACACCGCCAAGCACTTTGTCCTTATCGGTTCTTCTGCTAAATCACGGTGTCCGGATTTAAATCACCCACCCATGAGTATATCAAGAGTTAAAGCCCCCTTGATTGTCCCAGATTTTAACTGAAGCTGTTTACATCTTATCACGCATGTTTACAATGTTTGTAAAAATCCGCTTTCCCTGTTTCAACACCAACTTCTTCTATCAGACTATTGACAATGCTATTATTAACGTTTTTTTTTTGGTAAATGCATAAAAATATTACATTTACATTTTTGATTTCAAACTTTTTAAGATATTTGACCATAAAAATTGGTTGAAAAGTTAAGAACTAATGAATTATTAATGTTTATTTATTGATTGAAAAACATTTGTTCTAAATTTTGAATTTACCGGGTGGGAGTTAACACAAAAATTATTTAGAACATGACAACAAATTCAAATTTTAGAATATGTCTTTGTATCTTTTGTATATCAACCACAAAAGTTAACGTGCAAATGCTGACATGACAACAAATTCAAATTTTAGTACATGATACTGACAGGTTCATTTCTTTTACAGAAACCATTACACTAAATTAAAAAAGATTTATGTATCTCATATTGTATTGTACTTGGTTGCCAAGTCATTAAAAATTTAAATCAGACCCAAAATATTAGAGGAGTGGCTTTTTGAAGTATTTCATAGAATTTGTTTTAGTTACCATGACAACATTACGGACACGGATGGAGAAAATCTGGTCTTGGGCAGGTCTAGAGGTGCACACAAGATAGACCATCATGGGAATCACTGACGGCCTTATGTTCTGACCAGGAGAAAGAGGACTTTAACTTACTCAGACAGTGGCATTATTCACCTAAATCAAAAATGAAATTAAAGAATTGTGTACTTAAGTGTTGTCTACCTGTGCCACGTTATTATTGAAAACAGACCAAAACTATTGGAGCAAGATTTTTTTATTAGGCCTCCCTACCCTGTCTTTCGGTATGTCCGTCTACCATCAGTTTTCGTTTATTTTCTTTGCAGAAGTTGCACATATTGAAATGAAATGAAATTTGGTTATCCAGTTTAAGTCTTGTTTTGGGTAAGATCGGACTATTTTAGACAGAGTTATGCCCTTGGACTTGCATGTGCAAAAATTCCAGTTATTAGCAGTATCCGTTCATTTTCTTTGCAGAGGTTGCACACACTGAAATGAAATTCGGTATACATATCTATCATTGCCTGACGTCACGGCGTCGGGCTGTATAAGGATAGATATTTTCATAATCCGAAACTAATAGGTCATACCTGGAGAGCTATATTTTATGCAAGCTGATTTTAATTAGAATCTTTATCTGTATTTTAAAAGAAACAGTTTTCAAAAAAAGAATGATATTACTGATGCAAAATACTGCAGTGTTTACTTCCCTTACTCTTTAGCATGGAACAGATTATTCCATGTGATTCACCGCTTCAACATGTCCGTGTATCCTTTTTTCGCGCCTTTTCCTTGGCTTGTTCTGTTGTATGAATGGGTGTTCCCACTTCCATGGAATTAGAGTTTATCCTTTTAACCTCCTTCTAATGTCTCAGATTCTGTCAACAAGTAATTGTTTTAGCTCAATCTTTTAAACAACATATCGTATAATATATCAGTATACGGACATGCAACACTAAAGAAACGAGTTTTCAAATTTCTTTCCCGATCCCGCGGTTGGTTTATTCCATAAATGGACTAGTCCAATGATAATAAACAACGCATTTCAACAAAGTCAAGGTCTCCAGTACTCCAGCATGCTAGAGGTTCACGGCGAGATACTTTTGACTTGGCGCCGCGTAACCTCTAGCATCCATTGTAAAAATTCTCGCCGCTGAAACCCCAAGTGGAAAAAATTGTTTTATTAAGAAATAAGTCTTTGTATATTTACGAATGGTACGAAATAATAAAATACTCAATATTTACGATAAAACTTACGCATAAAACACTGTTAACCTCTCGTATTAGCAATAAATCCATTATTTTTCAAATCGAAGCAGAAATTGAAACGAGTTGTCTGTTCAAAATTCGGAAATGGAATACAGAAAATCTGACGAAACGAAACTAGTGTAATGCAACGAAAATTTCGTTTTCTGACAAGCAATCCGCAAAATTAATATGAAGTCAAATCGAAAGTACTTCTGGTGACAAATTGGAATATTGACAATTTCCATTAATTAACAATAATGCACAATGAATAAAATGGATTTTATTATTTCTTGCGACTTTCATACCCCATGCTAACACGTAGGTACCTGAAAATTACTTGTTAACAGTTTATTTCACGCATAATACGTTCCGCCCAAAATCTCAGGCGGAACGAGCTCGTTAGAAAATGGCCTTCGGATGTAAGAGTCCGAGGTATATAAGGAGCGTAGGGACGTTAACCGAAGCTCTTACTTGTAGGAGTAGGTCTCCAGATGCATGATCTATTATATGTCTTTGTTCAGATGCACACAATAATAAGAAAAAAGTGCAATATCTTGGATTTTTCTTTCCACACAGGTCTTAGTACATGTAGTGAATTTACGTATTTCAGATATATGATATTGGGAACCCCCCCCCCCCCCCTCCTTTTAAGAAAAAAAATTAATAAACACACATTACTACTGTTTACTTCAGTGGAGAAAATACACTCCAACAAAATGTGTATTTCATTATATTCATCTTTTAGAATGTTGACAATTCATGATTTGGTACCAGATTTTTTAATAGGTGTTACGAAGAAGTTTGAAATCAATTTAGATCGAAGGGCAGATCACTCCACGTGCAGAAAATCCCCACAGAATACCAATTCTTAAGTATGCAGTGTAGAGATGATTCTTCTGAAAGTTCATTTACACAAGGTTCTCAAAAACAAAAGTATTGCACAAAAGGTTTATCACTCTTCATGCAGATATTGATTGATTTAGTCAGGCAAGCTTTTTAAAAAGCTGTTACTTGTAAGAATATCTAAGACAAGTTCTGTTTTGTGTTTGATCCAATCATTTTGGACAAAGTTATGCCCCTTTGACTAGGAAAAATTCTAATTATTTGCCGTTTCCGTTGATTTTCTTTGCAGAGGTTGCATATATTGAGACGAAATGCGGTGTAGAGATTTATCATTTAAATATTTATGTCAAATTCTGTTCTGGATACGATCGAGGCATTTTTGACAGTTATGTCCCATGGACTTAAAGGGGCATATACACAGTTTCAGATAAAAATTTTCAAATTCATTTTTCGTTTTTACAAATATTTAAGTAAGGTCTTTCTAATAATCATCAAAAATTTGAACTTCAGTTGTCGAGATACAAGACAGAGTTAGAGCTCCAAACCTATGTTATGTAAACAGAGTTCGCGTCATGTTTTGTTAACATAGATTAATATACTATGATTTGAACTTATTTTATTGTAATATAATTACAAAGGGATTGAGCACAAGTACTGAATACTTATAACGGCCTCTCCCTATACATGTAAATTACACATTTATATTGTCACAGTTAAACATGCTATATAAAGTATTCAGAATTTGCAAAAGTAAACAAAATGATGCATTTTGCAGATATATGTATAAATATATAAAAGTTAAATAAATTCATATATCAATATTGGTACAGTAATTAACAAGGAAATCTACCAGAATGCTTAATAAATGTTTGAACTAAAGAGAAGAGATGTTCATTCTCTGCAGCACTTAATGATTCAACCCCCCATAATAAAACATGTGTATCTAGTATGTGGATTGTATCAAATTGTAAAAAATTATGTAAAAATTCATTCCTGGCGTTTGCATACTTTGGACATACGAAAAAATAATGATATGTGTCCTCAACTTTACCGCACGTGCACAAAGGACTTGATATTAAATTGCATCTATAAAGGTCGTTATTTAATACACAATTATGTCGTAGTCTGGTTTGAAGAACATTAAGTCTTCTGTTACCGCAATCAAAGTAAGAAGATGGGGCAGATTTAGATTTTTTATTACTAATTTTAGATTTGAATTTCGACATTGACTGTAAATTTCGAGTTTCAAGTGGAATGGAGTTCCATTCGTTAACTACAGTGGGAATAAACGTAGACTTATAAGTTTGTAATCGACACTTTGGAATATCATAATTTTGAGAATTTCTTGTCGAGTAAATAGATGTGTTACAGCGCATATTTGGAAGGATGTCCATTAAGTATTCTGGCACTAAATTATTATGAAGTTTGAACATTGTTTTTAATCTAGCTTCTTGTCTTCTACAACTAAGCGGTTCCCATCCCGTTTCAAAATAAAGCGAATCTTTGGAAGCTATAGTTGTTAACCCTGTTACAATTCTAGCTGCATAAAGTTGAAGTTTTTCTAACTTATCACTATCACCTTGTTGACAGCACCCCCAGACCACTGAAGCGTATTCAAGGTGCGGTCTTATGAATGATGTATACATGAGTGAGAGTGTTTTTCGATTTACTTTAAATTTTAATTTTTTCAAAAGAGACAATTTTTTGTAAGCAATAGACAGTATATTATCAATATGTGGTGACCAACTGGCATCGTGTGAAAATAGTACTCCGAGGTGTTTGTGCTCAGTAATGAAGTCTAATTCACATTGTTGAAAAAGAAGCTTAGGATATTCTATATTTTTCTTTGTGCTAAACAGTATTACTTTTGTTTTAGAGGGATTAAATTTCAATAACCATTTTTTAGACCATAGTTCCAGAGCATTAATATTTTAAATCTTTGTTTAAGTCTCTTTCAATTCTTTTCATGTTATGAGACGAATGCTGCAAAGAATTATCATCAGCAAATAATCTACAAAAAGTAACCATATTATCAGCAACATCATTAACATAAATTAAGAACAAAAGTGGTCCTAAAACTGAGCCCTGGGGAACACCAGCATATAAGGGTTTGGGTGTTGACAATAAGTTACGATGCATCACCCTTTGGTACCGACAATTCAGATAATTTTCAAGCCATTTATACAAACTACCAGTAATCCCATATGTCTTAAGCTTAAATAAAAGACCTTTGTGCCAAACACGATCAAATGCTTTTGACAGATCACAAAAAATCATACAGCAAAATTTTCCATCATCAATAGCTTTAACAATGTTATCATATGTTTCTATCAGCTGGTATACTGTTGAATGCCCAGGTAAAAAACCAGCCTGGTATTTATAAAAAAGATTATTGTCATGAAAATAATTATAAATATATTTAAACACAACTCTTTCCATGATTTTACCAACACAACTCAACAATGACACTGGTCTGTAGTTAGACATCACAGAAGGATCTTTTTTAAACAGAGGAAGTACATTTGCTAATTTCCATGCAGAAGGAAAAATACATTCATTTAGAGGTCTATTAAACAATAAACAAAGAGGTTTAGCAATAGTGAACTTTGCTGATTTTAACATCTTATGACTAATATTATCATGACCAATAGCTTTGTTTGTAGGAAGTATAGTTACAATATCAATTATTTCTTGCTCAGTAATACATACACTACTAATTTCACTGTTACATACATGATATGCCTCAGGTAATTCTAACCCACTATCATCAACACATGATACAGATGTAAAATAGTTATTAAGTGCATCTATTTTTTCTTCGTTTGAATAAGCAATATCTGTACGACCATTTTCAGATGTAAATTGTAATGGTGGAATATCAGAGGCAGTTTTGGTTTTAAAAACATCCTTCAGAATATACTATAATATATGTTCGTTCAAAGCAGATAATTTCAATAAAGAAGTTAATTCTAAATAAAATTAGACAGTTTCTAGTGATTTGCTGAATTTCATTTTGTTATGAATAAGACATTTTTTTTTTACATGTAAACAAAAACAAGGCACGAGCCCTGTTTACATTTTGAGGAACTTTAAGTTCCATATCTCGTTTGTTAATCAATAAATGATGTTAAAATTTTAGCTGATCATCAGATGTTGCCTTAGTTAGGAATTGTAAGCATTAAAATTGGTTTAAAAAATTCAGTTAAAACTGTGTCCATGCCCCTTTATAAAATTCCAATTACTTTGGGAGAGGGGCAGAAGTATTTTACATTTTGTATTTTTTATCTCTTGTTTTAGTAACCATGGCAATTAATACTATTTTTATCAAAATATGTCATGAAATAACTAACAGCGAAGTCTGACTCACATATTTTATTTTGGATATATTACTATAAATGAAGAAAAACCACAAATACAGAAATAAGTTTATTCATTGCTACAAAGTTACATTTACAAGTTTTGGCATGAAAATACAAGTCTACTATCTCTTTTGCATACACAGCAACATTTACTTAGAATGAAAAGTATTTTTACCACAATAATGATAAAAATATGCCATAAAATCTAAGTCTGGCTAGTTGTATTTGGCGCTCTTATCTCATCCCACTTTTATATCTATGGTTCAGTATTTTGTCCCTGTAGTTATGTAATTTAGATCACGAAATTTAATTGGAAGGAAATTAGGAATGTGGAAGGGGAGAAAATTATAATTTTAACTCATGCCAAGAAAACCTTAGCATTCTCTCCGTATAGCAAACTCAATAAAAGCCGAATTAACATTAATCTGTGATTCTTCCCCTGGGAGACGTGCGGAAGCAATTAATGTCTGCAGTTTTGAGGGAGGGATCTTAAAATTTACTGGGTTAGAATTATAGGTAGAATATTAGTTATTTAGAAGCCTTTGCCCCCCCCCCCCATTGTCTTTTTCGGGTGGGGGGGGGGTGAAATTAATTATAGTAAAGTAATTCTTTAATAAAATAAGCTGCCTTTCAACTTTTTTACGTAATTCAATTTCAAAATATTTTTTCTCAGTACAAATAAATTGACATCGGGTAGTTGTGGAAGTACCGCGTCGAAATATAAATAAAAGAGTACCAAATTTCCGGAAGTTTACATCATTTCCTGGTTGAACAAGATGGAGACGAGTACTGAATGGGTAGACGTTACCCGATTGGCTATGTGTATATTTTCATTTTAAAGTGAATATTTCTTTTGATTGTTTTTTTCTTATTTTCTTCAGTCCAATATTTTTTTTTAAAATAAACGTATTTTGTAAATAAAGATATTTGACAGTAACTTTTTAGGGTATTTGTACTACTTCCTGGGGTAGAAGTTTATTTTTTCTTTAACTAAGAAAGCTTAAAACCTAGGATCCACCCCCAGAAGTCTGCTGCCGTAAATTGTCTTGCTGGCGTTTTGGGAATATGGGTGATTTGCATCAATTACACTTTTATTGACTCCATCGCTGTCGAAATCGGACGAGATTTCTTGGCATGGTATATTTCAAATACATTTTATTCAATAAATTTCCTCTTATCAACTTTCCACACTTAAATGTTTCATTCTTTCTTTCAGTGGTCTTAAGCTGGTCCTCTCATTAAATCAGGTCTTAGAGAAAATAACTTTAAAAAGTACATTGAAATTTTATTCATTTCATTATACAAGTTTTCGAGGGGCGTAATCGTTAGAGTGTTTGCTTTCGATTCGGAGAGAAGAGTCGAAGAGTGTACCCTGGGTTCAAATGTACTGCATGTTACGTGGATACCGGTTTTTATCACTTGAACCGATGTCTCGTGTTGCAGTACTTAAGATCCTTAGCTGCTCAAAGACCTAAGTTCAGAGTACAGGAATAAATTCGTAACTCTCTTACCGGCGTCTAAAAAATTTTAAAGAATGATAAATAAGCAATCACAAAATACTAAAAATGTTTATTTTTGTTTAACGTCCTTCACATTTCACTCATATCATGAGACACAATGCACCACTTTCCGGCAGAGCTTCAAATTTGGACCTATTTGTAACATTCAAGGCCATTGAGAAGTGAATAATATATTTTGTGCCAGCATCTACTTCAACAATGGACCTCAATTTAAAAGGTCTTATTCGAGGTACTGGCCTAGGGCCATAAATCCTAGACGAGCTCACTTTTGATCTCATTCTCACTTTTTCCAAAGGAATTAATAGTAGAAAAGTGAGGCCGAGATCAAAAGTGAGCTCGTCCAAGTTTTATGGCCCCCCAGGCCTGGTCTCCACGTCCCACAGTAGGATTCGAACACGCGACTTCAAAATCATCTCGGAGCCTTAATCCGGGATCTCGAGCATTAATGAAAATTATTCATATATATGGAATGAGATATAAATGCAACGAAGTTTTCAACGTTATTATTTGTTGGTTGAAGCAATTCGATAGTTGAAAGAACTTAAGTTTTTGCGGTTTCAAATATGTACAATGTTTCCTTACAGCTCCTCTTAAGAAAATTATAATGAAATACCATGGTGCCCGTTTTTTTTCAAAGGGAAACAAGGAGGGCCAAGTGTTGAACGGGCGCGCCAAATACAACTAAACCTACATTTTGCTCGTGTTGACATTTCTTCTGGAGTGATTTTTAGATCCATTATAGTCACAGTCCTTTCCAACATGACGTACATTTATTTTTTCTTGTTGTGGAACGCTAACATCTTGTATATTGTTGGGTGCGGGAGATGAAGTCATAGAACAGTTAGAAACATTGACTGGATCTGGGATATAAATTCCAATTTCTGAAATTGCCCGATCGCTTTCAGGGTTTTTCTGACCACAAATAACTATCAAACGATATAGTAGCAACAGCATTACCAGAGCGTTCTTAGCAGTAAAGAAAATAATAGCATAATTGACAAGATGGTATGTGATTATAACAAATAATCTGATCGTCAAGAATGGACCATCTTGCATACACATTGTTACCATGGTGCTCCAGACTTCACTCGAAACACATTTCTCACAGCCTCCCTTTCGTCTTCGTTTTGGAGTGCCTGGGCCAGTTTCCTCATCGGTATCGTGAAGCGCAACGCGGGGTTTATTAGAATTCTTGGTCGCAGTTAACACGAAACAAAACTGCACCAGGCTGATGGTCCAGATAATCAATATGGCGTAGGTCAGTTCGAGGTTTTTACGAACAACATCTTCATCAAATAAGGTGAAGAACTCTGTGATATCCGAGGCTATTCCAATGAAGACAAACAAGAGCTGGGAAAGTTCATTTCTCGAAATTGTTCCTCGCGGTAAAAGCCATCTTCCAACGATCATAAAATAAAGTAGAAATTGCTCTATCAACAAAACCCAAGTGTCTGCAGGTAACGAAATGGGAATGGAAACCTAAAATGTATATACAAATTATGGATTCATTTGCTATGTAAACTAATGTGCAATTTAATAAGATCAGACCTGTCAAATTATCGTACACCAGGATAGATTTCGGCTAATGATTCCGTTGCCGTAGCGTTGTTCACTCCTTGCTTGACAGCCACATAACGCTCTCGTCTGTCCAACTCCAGAAGCCAGATAGAAGGAAGAGTTCCTCCGAGGTAGAAAAAGAAACACGGACAAAACCTTTAACAAAAAAAAAAAAAATCAAACACAAACCTGAAATCGTGAGATACTTGGCTGGTTCCAAAAGAAGTTGTCAACTTGAACGTTTATGTATATCCAGGAAACTTAAAATGTTAAATTTTGATTCATCCATACAACTAGATATTAATTCATTTATTTTAGTGATACTGAATCTTTTATGAAAATAAAGTGATCGGTATGGCACTAGAGTGATTGATTAATTGTATACTGTTTAACGTCCCACTCAAGAATATTTCACTGATATGGAGACGTCACCATTGCCGGTGAAGGGCTGCAAATTTAGGCCTATGCTCGAAAATGTTAACTTAAATTCAATTTAGTGACACTATGACTTTACCATTTTTAACTGTAGTATAAAATAGACAACTTGAGTTTACTATTACACCTTTACTATTACACTGCATAGTAATTGTTTTGCTAGGGTAGTTGAAGGGCTATTCGTCAAGACTGTCATAAACCCAGAATCCCCCCCCCCCCTCCCCATCGTCTCAAGCCACGGTCCGGAGTCCGCATATAACTCTCTCCTACCCGTGGCTGCTTGATCACAAAAAATGTCGTAATCTTGAATATTTACGCCTCTTTATTGTGACGTCATATTCAGTCAGTGGCAAGTTTTGTTTCCATCGCAATTGAAATCAACAACTGACGTCAACAGTATACAAGAAATATTTCCTTTACTGCGATTGGATATTGAAAGGTCGCGATAAAGTTCATCTTCCGACTATGCTTTACTCGCATTGGTCAAAATTTTAATGAGCTACGAAGAATTCTCTCCTCGTTCAACCACGGCCAGAATGGGAGAGGATCGTACATTTTGGCCGTGGTTTGCGACGATCCCCCCCCCCCCCACCGTGTATGGCTATAACCTCACAGTTACGCAATATTTTTGCAAATCTTGACAGATATATATGACTGCCGTCATGAGAAAAGGTACTTATCTTTTGACGTCACAATACTCTGTCTCATAAAACGACGTCAAAGTCGCGGTATTGTAAACACGGAAGTAAATGTTGTCGACTACGTTTCGTACACAAGAAGTAAAACTGGATTTCAAAGTGTTATGAAAATTCTATTTGTATTTGATACGTACATTTCTTTATAATGTTATTATAAAATTATAACTATTTAGTACGTAAATTCACTGATTCAGCCCCGTGGGGATCCGGGTTAGAATAGGTCCTCAGTACCCCTTGCTTGTCGTAAAAGGCGACTAAATGGGGCGGTCCTTCGGATGAGACCGTATAAACCGAGGCCCCGTGTCACAGCACGTGTGGCACGCTAAAGATCCCTCCCTGCCCAAAGGCCCTGAGTGCCGAGCATAGGCCTAAATTTGCAGCCCTTCACCGGCAATGGTGACGTCTCCATATCAGTGAAATATTCTGGAGAGGGACGTTAAACAGTATATAATCAATCAATCACTGATTCATAATTCTATTTAATTAAGTATGTAACTTGATGTTGATATATGCAACATTAGATATGACAGCGATAAAAATAATATCTATGACTCGTCTGAATAAATTAAAGATGCTGCATATTTGTTTTCTGAGCAATTTACACATACATGCTTAAATTTGATTCACGATAAGAAGTCTTTATATAAAACGTTATTCCATGCAAATGTATTTTTTTTTTCAGAGAGAGCGAGTATTACCCTTCTTTATAAACGCTACTTTTTGCTGTAAAATTTATACCATAATTTAAAATGTTAAGTCATTTTAATTCAATCCATGGTTATCATACTGATGTACCCCGATTGCCAGACCACATGACATGTCGATTATCAAATGAGTCGAAAAAAGGGGGGATAGGTAGACAGGTAAAAAAAAAAAATTCGAATACCGGTAAAAAAAACAACCGGTTAAATTTCAAGCTAAAAAACATAACTCCTATCTGATTGGATATAGATACTTGTAACATGAGAGATTAAAACCTTATACAACAACAATAAATAAATAATTCTATACTAAATTAAAAGTGAGAGAATATGCTAAGAATAAAGAAAAATACTGAGGATTGGGATGCCATAACACTTTGCTAAAAATAAATTTTGTTTCAAAAACTAATTTGAAATTATGAAATACATGTAAATACATGCAGAAGAAATGTATGGTAAAAGTTGCTGTTGTTTTAATGTCCCCCGCTTGAAAAGTGGGGGATATTAATTTGGGTTTGTCCGTCCGTCCGTCTTTCTGTCTGTCTGTAACGCTTTCGTTTCCACATGATATCTCGAGAACTCTTTGAGCTTTTGCAATGAAATTTAGCATAGCAACTCCCTGTGGACTAAAGAAGAACCCTATTGATTTTGAGGTGAAAGGTCAAAGTTCAAGGTCGTAAATTTATACATTCTGTCTGTGTATAACACTATCATTTCCGGGCGATATTTCAAGAAGATTTTGAGCTTATGCAATGTAAATTTATACAAAAACTCCCTAGGACCTCTCTCACCCCTCTCAAAGTGCCCCGACCCGTTTGTTTTATTAATATTTTATAGTATTACATGTCGCTATTTTTAGCACAGGGGCATGAGGAGAGTTATTGCGTATAAAACAGGTTCTCGGCGGACTTTATGTTTTTATTACATCTATTAAAACTGTTTAAGAAAGGCTAAATAAATCAAACACCATGGATTGTGTTATCTTCGCTAGCCAAGGGTTTCTGATACGCTACTCTCCTCATAAAGTGCATTCATTTTTATGGTTTCCCAACCCTCAGGAGCTATGGGGATGGCACCATGAGTTTCATAATTTTTTTCCATTTACCAATGTTGTATGCGGAAATTGATTGAAATTGGTTCTGCATACACTAAATTAGATGCAGGCCATTTGAACAAAGCAAAGTGATGCCATATCCTTCGCTTTGAAAAAATATGAAACTCATTAAGATCCTTAAAACGGTTAATATCAACTCGGTCTCAGAACTTTTCAAATACCTCTCTTAGTTTAGACTGATCTTAGTTCAAAAAATGCACGTAGGTGTACAATACTGCCATTAGTCAAAGAAATCTGACGTTTTCTCTTTTATACGATTTTGATAATTTGTTTTATTCTAAATGCCAGGAAAACGTCAGATGCGGCACCATTACGAAAACGGGAAATTTCGCCGTCTCAAACCGGAGTTGATTATTCGATACTTGTGAACCGAACTATTAATTGCCGAAATCAGAATTTACCACGAGCACACAAATTCTATAATAATTTTTATGCCCCCGTAGACGAGGTTTCGGGGGAATATAGTTTTTCTCGTGTCCGTCCGTCTGTCTGCCTGTCTGTTTGTCCGCAAAAACTTTAACCTTGCCCTTAACTTTTGATTTGGGGGAGCTATGAATTTCAAGTTTCACATGTGTATTCCTTGTGACAAGACCTTTCTTAGGGTACCACCAAATTTGACATTTTGACCTTGGAGTTTGCCCCACTTTTACACAAAAATTCCAAATTTACTTTGGCCATATCTTTTGAACAGTAGATACTAGGACATTTATACTTCACATATATATTCTTTGTTGAAAGACCTTTCATTGGATTGAAAAAAAACTGTAACCTTGCCCATAACTTTTAAACGGTAAAGGATAGGGCTTTCAAACTTATTAATATATATAATTCTTATGAAAAGACCCTTCACTGACTTTTAAAAAGCAAACCTTGACCATACCTTGTAAAGGGTTAGGGCTAGTGCTTTGATACTTCATATATTTATTCCTTGTGACAAGACCTTTCATTTGATAGCAAGACCTTTGACCTTGGAGTTTGTCCTACTTTCAAAAAATTTTAACCTTGGCCATAACTTCTGAACGGTAAGGGCTAGGGCTTTCATACTTTATATATGTATTTAATGTGGCAAGACTTTTCATTGGATACCAGTTACCTTCACCTTTTGGCCTTAACCTCGGAGATTTTTGTACTTATGAAAAAAGTTGAACCTTTGCCATAACTTTTGAACGCTTAGGGCTAGTGATCTCATACTTCACTTATGTAATCATTGTGAGAAGACCCTTCATTGGATACCAAGAACTTTGACCTCGGAGTTTGACCTACTTTTACAAAGCAAACCATGACCATTAATTTTAAAGGATTAGGGCTAGTGCTTTCATACTTTACATATATCCTTGTGACAAGACCTTTGACCTTGGAGTTTGACCTACTTTAAAAATTTTTTAAAACTTGGCCATAACTTCTGAACGGTTACGGCTAGCAGACCTGCCTACCCTTTTCATTGCAAGGGTGTAATTTCAGTACATTTTTGGTGGAATTTCAGATGTAAAAGTATAATCAATCATGTCCTATTTTTTTTTACTATAATACTTTTTTTTTTAAAACAATTGAAATTGTACATTACTAAACAAAGCTGGTATAAACCTTTCTTAATTTTCCGAATCATCTGTTGGCAAAAAAGTGTAAAATTCCAGTATCCTATATCAAACTCAATTCAACCAAACACCTTTCATGGAGCATTCGATCAATTTGTATCAAATCACTGAATTGAAGGCTTGCGTTTGAATGTTAAAACAGATCCTACATTATAACATTGTGTTTTATCTTTTTTACACTCACATTTCTCTATCTTGTGCTAAGCAATGTTAAAATAAACTTAATTGGGCATAAAACGTTTTTCAATATCGTTTAATAGTTAACGTAAGTAGTGCCTTCTCGTCTTCCGAATCTTCGCCATACCAGTTTACATGTAACTTCTAGTTATAGTATGTACATTATCGAACAAGTCCTCTTTGAATTACTTTTATAAGAACTTCTCATTTCATTTCTCTAAATTTAGACGTTCATAATGGAATTTTAACCAAAATATCAAAACCGTAAAATTAATTTAAGTGGCGTAATAGCGTAATTTTGTGGTAAAAAGCGGAAGAATTACGCAAAAAGCGGAAGGGTAGGCAGATCTGGGTTAGGGCTTCCATATTTACATATTTTATTGGATACCAATGACTTTGACCTTGAAGATTTCCATACTTATGAAAAAACTTTAACGTTGGCCTTCTTTCATATTTCACAATTGTATTTCCAGTGAGAATACCCTACTTTTAGCACCAATATATTAAATTTTCATTTAAGAGAAGTTTATTCTTTGTTATGTTGCCATACGGGGGCATCAGTGTTTCACAAACACATCTTGTTTTTATAGGAATCTATAGGAAAAATCCTCTTCTAAAGAATGGAAAGGCCATAAATTAGTTATATTGATATGGAAGCATCATTAAGTTGCGTCGATTCACATTTGTTCACATCATGATTCCAGGGATAAGAAGGGGCCACCACGAGGCTAAATGTTTTTACAAAGGAATACATGTATATAGGGGGAAAACTCTGTTCTAAAACAGTAAAGCCATTGTTATAGATATTATTCTCAGACAGTTTAAAATTCAAGTCCTACTTTTCCATACTTAACTGATTTGTGCCTTTTTATAGCCAATATGCTCAGATGAGCGATGTGGCCCATGGGCCTCTTATTATTTTAATGCACCTTAAACAGCTAGCGAGGAAGCTACTATTTGTTTTTAAGAGGGTTAAGGCTTTATCTTCAAATGACCAAAGTCGCCGTACGCCTACACGGCTTATTGAATGACCAAACAAAATTTCTTCTTTTTTTCACGACAATAGGAAGAGATTTACAGTAATTAAATCCACAATTAGAGTATTAATTAAATGCAATAGGAAGTTATCATAGGCCCATCCATGTTATGTTAACCATTATCGTGTTTTCCATTCTAAACAAAATTTAAAGTTTATGGTTGTATTAAGAGCAATTGATAAAATATTATAGATAAGTATGCATATCTTTTTGTGTTTCGCTGTTTCAGGTTTTATGGACTAAAATCGTCAATATCAATGTACGTATATTTGGTGCTAAATAAAATATTTGTATATCAATTACTTACCACTTATATTCCATTCCCTTTCTCTTTATGATGGTTATCAATGCTTCAATGATGAATGCAACATCCGCAACTGCAAGCAACCACAACCATGTATTGTTTGAAATACTTACTGCTCTCCAAACAGCCAAAATACTGTGCACTAGCAACACGACCCGCACTAAGAACGCTTTTACAATATTTATAAATAACATAGTAAAATAAGTCCAAACGACTCTAGTGAAATATACCGATGTCTATTTCATTCAAAGGGAACTGGATAATACTATCCCAAAATTGATGAACTGCATTCTTTCACGTCTAAAATGCACCCATTGTATTTGCTAATCACAACTAATATTTGTTCAAGTGCAGTTAACGAGATAATTTCAGTTTTCTATCCATCATTTATCGTTCACAGAAACAACTGGGAGGAAAAAATAATAGAGGTCGCAAGTAGTTAATGAGTTTAAGGTGGTTCGGTTAATATTTAATGTGTGTTCGTGTGACGCGGGCAAGAGAACCCCTGATGACGCTCTTCAGTTAAAAAAGATTTGGAAAGACTGTCGATTTTTGTATGGTAAATACATCACATAAAACACCATGTCAACATTCATTTTGCCTGTGGAGGAATTAATTATTGGCATCTAGAATTTCTAATTAAACGGATCGAAAATACACTTAAATCTAATTATCACAAAACCAGCATAGATTTTCTAATCTGCCTGCACTTAACGTGAGTAAGTAAACAAACAGCAGGTTCCATTGGGAAGGCGACGATCGGTTTAAAACAAAGAAATGCTCATTATAATAATGTTGTATAAAGATATAATTAACAGAATGTATCCTTACACTATTTCTATTAAATTTTAATATTTGATTAGCTTATAATTATGTGTAACAGTTAAACTCATGACTTGTATAGTCTATATTTTAAAGTTATGCATATGAAACACATGAATAAGTAATAAATTCTTAATTTATCTTGGTTTATTCACCCGATTGCCTACAAAAGTTATTTAGCGGTCACTCAGTTTAATGATTAAAAAAAAAGAAAGAAAGAAGATAGAGATGACATCGATCGTTCTTCTGCCCTTTACCTTTATAATGCATATAAATAGTGCCTTTGTATTATTTGAAAGCATAATTATTAATTTCTTGTAATTAATATGTTATAAAGGACTCACTGACTAGTTAGTAATGTATTCCAGAGCATCAACGATAATGGGAAACATGGGATAATTATAAATTATCCCGTGTTTCCCACTATCGTTGATGTCCCTGGTATGCTATACTGACTAGACTGATTCCTTATATTTTATTTTAATTGTGAAATAAAATTGTAGATTTAGATTTTAAACATGTATACATAGATTTAAATTACACGAGGACTCACAGGCCAATTTCAATAGTCTTCACTCACTGACGTCAAACACAAAGGCAGTCGCACGAGATTTACAAGCATATTTGGCCGCCTTAGCGTCAGATATAGAGACAGATGCGCACGAGATTTGAATGCATATTGGGCCTCCTTGGCTCCTGACCTATCGATCTGCCTAATATACATTCCGGTAAAATTATCAAGATGGGCCACATCGCTCACCTGAGCACATGGGATAGTTAAAAAACAAATCAGCTCAGTATTGATAAGTTCACTTGTTGGGGGAGGGGTATATGAATTTTATATTACTTGAGAATGTCACTATATCATTAAAGCATACATGTATAATTTTGCCACACTTGAAAGATTTTCCAACACATTACTTAATCTTCCATTGTGACCCCTCGCTAACATCCCCCCAACCTTATATGTATGAATTAAAATTTTCACTACTTGCAGATGCTTACATGTCAATTTGACTAAACAAAACTTTTTCTGTTCTGGAGAGGATTTTTTATGTATATATTCGTATTTCTTATGCAAAACTTTGATCCCTCATTGTGGCCACATCCCAACCCCGTGGGCCATAATATGAACAAACCTGAATCTAAACCACCTGAGGATGCTTCCATTAAATCCATATAAAAACGAGAAGTCTCTGTCGAGACTGTAGCTCTACTGGTTTGTACTTATCAAAAAGGATGAGAAAAGAAACCATTGGCATCAGACCAAAACTGTAAAAGGAGTAGCGTTTTAAAGGAATTTCACAGACATTTCTATTTTTAGTAACCATGGCAACACCGTTTATCGAAATCAAAAACCGATGCACTATTTTATGTATCTCAGTGTAGTGTACTTGTATGCAAAGTAATATTGAAATCAGACTAAAACTGTAGGAGGAGTAGCATTTTAAACAAATTTCCCAGAAAATTCTATTTCTAGTAACCATGGCAACACCGTTCATTGAAATCAAAAACCGATGCACTATTTTATATCAGATCAAATCTGAAGAAGGAGTAGCGTTTTAATAGAAAATGCTATTTTTAGTAACCATGGCAACACCGTTCATCGTAATTAAAAACCGATGCACATTTTATGTATCCTTATATAGTCTTCTTGTGTGCCAAGTTATATTGAAATCATATTAAAACTGTAGGAGGAGTAGCAAGGAATTTTACAGAAAATTCTATTTTTAGCAACCATGGCAACACCGTTCATTGAAATCAAAAACCGATGCACTATTTTATGAATCTTAGTGTAGTCTACTTGTGTGCCAAGTAATATTGAAATCAGATCGAAACTGTAGAGGTAATAGCCTTTTAAAGGAATTTCACAGAAAATTCTATTTTTAGTAACCATGGCAACACCGTTCATCGAAATCAAAAACCGATGCACTATTTTAAGTATCTTAGTGTAGTCTACATGTGTGCCATGTTATATTAAAATCAGACCAAAACTGTATGAGGAGCCTTTTGAAAAATTGTTTACAGACAGACGGACGGACACCTTACTATTTCATAAGCTCTTCTGGTCTCTGACCAGTAGAGCTAACAAGAGGCCCATTGGCCACATCGCTCACCTGAGCACTGTGTCTAGGAAAAAGTAGAAATTGGTTTATTATTGAAAAGTTTAAATCCAAAAGTAAACCCAAGACCAGTTATGGTTTTGCTATTCTTGAGAAGAAGATTTTTAAGAATTTTCCTATATATTTCTATGTAAAACTTTGGTCGGCCATTGTGGCCCCGCCCTACCCCCGGGGCTCATGATTTGAACAAACTTGAATCACAACTACCTGTGGATGCTTCCATAAAAATATGATCAATTATGGCTTTGTTATTCTTGAGAAGAAGATTTTTAAGAATTTTCCTATATATTTCTATGTAAAACTTTGGTCGGCAATTGTGGCCCAACCCTACCCCCGGGGTCATGATTTGAACAAATTTGAATCTACATTACCTGAGGATGCTTCCATATAAGTTTCATCTTTCCTGGCCCAGTTGTTCTTGAGAAGATTTTTAAAGATTTTTCCTACATATTCCTATGTAAAACTTTGGTCGGCCATTGTGGCCCCGCCCTACCCCCGGGGGGTCATGATTTGAATAAACTTGAATTTACACTACCTGTGGATGCTTCCATATGATAAATATGATCAATTATGGCTTTGTTATTCTTGAGAAGAAGATTTTTAAAGAATTTTCCTATATATTTCTATGTAAAACTTTTGTCGGCCATTTGGCCCCACCTTACCCCCAGGGGTCATTATCTGAACAAACTTGAATCTACACTACCTGAGGATGCTTCCATAAAAATATGATCAATTATGGCTTTGTTATTCTTGAGAAGAAGATTTTTAAGAATTTTCCTATATATTTCTATGTAAAACTTTGGTCGGCCATTGTGGCCCCGCTTTACCCCCGGGGCTCATGATTTGAACAAACTTGAATTGACACTACCTGAGGATGCTTCTATATAAATATGATCAATTATGGCTTTGTTATTCTTGAGAAGATTGTTAAAGAATTTTCCTATATATTTCTATGTAAAAATTTTGGTCGGCCATTGTGGCCCTTCCCTACCCCCAGGGGTCATGATTTGAACAAACTTGAATCTACACTACCTGAGGATGCTTCCATAAAAATATGATCAATTATGGCTTTCTTATTCTTGAGAAGAAGATTTTTAAGAATTTTCCTATATATTTCTATGTAAAACTTTGGTCGGCCATTGTGGCCCCGCTTTACCCCCGGGGCTCATGATTTGAACAAACTTGAATTGACACTACCTGAGGATGCTTCTATATAAATATGATCAATTATGGCTTTGTTATTCTTGAGAAGAAGATATTTAAAGAATTTTCCTTTATATTTCTATGCAAAACTTCGGTCGACCATTGTGGCCCCGCCCTACCCCCAGGGGTCATGATTTGAACAAACTTGAATCTACACTACCTGAGGATGTTTCCCTATAAGTTTCATCTTTCCTCGCAAAGTGGTTCTTGAGAAGATTTTTAAAACATACCAACAAATTTTCATAATTCCCAATTATCTCCCCTCGAATGAGGGCGTGGCCCTTCATTTGAACAAACTTGAATCCCCTTTACCTAAGGATGCTTTGTGGCAAGTGTGGTTGAAATTGGCCCAGCGGTTCTTGAGAAGAAGTCGAAAATGTGAAAATTTTACAGACAGACGGACAGACAGACAGACGGACGCCGGACAAAATGTGATCAGAAAAACTCACTTGAGCCTTCGGCTCAGGTGAGCTAAAAATTACTTAAATCATGTATTTGGTGTTCTCTATAAAATTTTAAAGATATTGACTTTAGGATATACACATGTATTCCTATGTAAAAATTGATACCACATTGTGTCCCCGCACTACCCCCAAGAAATCCAATTGGAACTATCTTGAAACTACACAACCTGAGGATGCTTCCATATAAATATCATCAATCATGCCATGGCTTTGCTGTTCTTGAGAACAAGATTTGAATGCCCATTACACTGTATGGCCCCGGCCTACCCCAGGGGTCATGATATGAACAAACTTGAATTAACTCTTAATTAACTGAGAATGTCTCCATATCAGTATCACCAGTGATATAGCTTTGCTGATCTAGAGAAGAAGATTTTAAAAAGATTTTTGCTACGTAATTTTATGTAAAACTTTGATAAGCCATTATGGTCCAGCCCTATCCTCGGGGGTCATGATTTGAACAAAATTGAATCTACACTACCTATGGATGCTTTCAATTAGTTTCATCATTCCTGGTCCAATGGTTTTGGAGAAGAAGATTTTGAAAAAAAAATCCGATATATTCCTATGTAAAACTTTGTTTAGCCATTGTGGCCCCTCCCTACCCTCGGGGGTCATGATTTGAACAAACTTGAATCTACACTACCTGAGGATGCTTC